GGAAAAGTTTATATACAGCCGAGGCTCTAAACAATCAAATTTGAGCTTACCACAAAACTTTCACTAAAAGAAGTTGTTTTGATGCCCAAATATCTTCAAATCGATCATCTTGACATCAAGATGCATAGACATGAGAAAAAAAAATGAATTTCAAGTTTTGGAAATAGTGCATTTTATAAAGCATTTTTGGACCGTCAATTTTCAAAATTTTCAAGTTTTCATATATATGTCGGTCTACACTATTTTTTAAGCTTTAAACTTCATAAATAAATATAAAAACATATTTTAAGGCGATCACAAAGATTTCCTATATTAAAACCATATTTCTCGACACTATTTGAAGGTAGGCTCTAATTTGATTGTTTAGAGCTTAGGCTTTATACAAACCGCACCCATATATATATATGAGTAATGATCCTGTGAGACCCTCCTACACCCATGTGTGAAAGACCCCAAAGGATCATCATTTAACTTTTCGCAGATCTCTAAAAAAGTTATCACATTGATGTAGGACTTGACTTTTCTAGAGATCGTGTCAAATTTAATGGTGATCCTTTGGGATCCTACACATATGGGTGTGGGAGGGTCTCATAGGATCATTACTCTCTCTCTCTTCTTTTTTTTTCTCTATATATATATATATATATATATTAGACGGGGATCTGTATCTGGGTCAGATCCAAATTGAATCCACCTACACCCCTATCTAAATAGGGTCCGAGATTCAAGTTGTGAATCCTAAAAGCCGTCCCCTCTAGACACAGAGTGCATGAGAGAGGGGGGCGGCCCTAGGTTGCAACATTATTATAAACTTTTTCTTTGCGTCAAGAGATTAAGAGCGTCGGACTTCACTTTGGCATACAATTACAAAGAGGAAAAACAGAGTGGGAATCCCATTTCAAAAAAGACTAACAAACACTCTTGAAACACAAACAATCATTGAAATTCGAAGACCCTACTCTATCGAGAAGCTTGGAAATCCCAAGGTCCACTGAAGCAAGAAAGCATGTTCCTTTCTAATCCCTGAGCCCAAACCTCACCAACTCAAAACCACACCAAAACATCATCCTTTCTGCAAGAGTCACAAATATCGGGGATGGGGCAACGCCCATACGGCATCCAAGATGGCATTGTCAAATGAAGTCGGTGAGAATGAACAATGATTTCGCCAATAGGCGAAAATGAACAGTGATTTCGCTTACCCTCATCACCGTCCAAAGTTCATCGCACGGTCACGATTGTCCAGTAATGTTTCATTTTTTTTTTATAAATAGGAAAAAAAAGATTGACCAAAATATCCCCTGAAAATTTTCGGAAGTATTTTGGTCAATATTTACATGTAAAATATTTTTTTAATATTTTTCGTAGATTCACGTATTTTTTATGAGCATAGTCATTCAGATTCGGAAAAAAAAAAAAAATGAAAAAATGAAATACTACCAAACAATCGTGACGGTACGATGAACTTTAAACGGTGATGAGAGTAGGCGAAATCACTGTTCATTTTTCCCTATAGGCGTTTTGTAGTATCTTCCTATAT